AGTGTTCTTAATACGTTTCCAAACATTTCCAAATGCCAAGTGGACTGGAGAAATATCGTATGGTATGTGTGTGACGAACAAAGCCTGGTATTTTGCCAAACACCAAAATTGAATGAATGAATAAATGGAAACCAAAAATAATTTGCACATTTTTGCATTTAATTCACAAAAGTTCGGCAATGAAGTGAAAAGCGCAAAAACAATTGCCATCAACTAATTGCCCAAAAATAATGTGCTGCTGATGTAATGTTTCCATATTTGGTTGGAATGCTAATGTCTGAACTATGGTTTGCTGTGGGAGATTTCATAATAAAACGTATTTAGACGTATTGGTATTGTACCCATTAGCTATAATAGGTTAAAAAATTAGGAATAATTTTTTACAGTGACTCATAATTTGAACGTTTATCAAATATTAGAATTTCAAAGTAAAAAATCCAATTAAAGCATCATAGTGCCAAAAAATCTGCCAGCAAGTGCTCACTACCTCTTTAGCAAAATATTAACAAAAGGTCGATAAAAAGACGGGTGAGCCGACTATATGATACCCTAACCACTATGCGTATTCATAAAAAACTATGCACCTTATTCGAACCAGGGTATAAATCCATTATTTCTATATGTCACGTTTTGGCCGTATTAAATTCTAGCCGTATGGCTGAGGGTATGATTAAGCAATTATAACTATATTTTTGTACCCTTGAAATAAGTATTGCCTGGGAACGCCAACACATTTAAGTTTTTACTTTCAGTGTGACCACAAAAAAATTCCAATGTTTAAGCCTTTACAACTAGCTCAAAACTATTGTACGGCTTTGCGAAAATCTCAATTATATAAGACTCCTGTTCAAGGGACGACGCTCAATCTAAACTCCAAGACATAAGCTCTTATCCATTGCCGAAATGAAATACGGAGTTCCAAATGTCTTTAACAATAAAATTGTACGATTTTGTATTTTGTAAAGTGCGAAGTTCCAAAAATCCGGTGTGCTTTTCACTTCTCTCTTAAAATAATTTAAAATATATATGAGATGAAAAAACCGCAACCAACTTCAGACTGCTGTCATTTCTAAGCCACTCGTCCGACAGCTGTTAAAACTATTCCAGTGACAGCTCATTTTATTGTTTACAATCATACAAAAGCATTTTGCTGAGAATTTTCCAGAAAAAAAGTTATTCGTGCTGGAATACAAGCGTGATAGTGTGATTTCTATATATTTGGCTGGAAAACCACAAGGGGCTATCGTTGGAGCACTCCAGCATTTAAATGTGAATAAATCATCTGTGTCTCGTACCATCGCTCGTTACCGTGATACTGATAGCGTAGCCCGACGTCAAGGAAGTGGACGGAAGAAAACATTAACATCAGCACAGATGGTTCGAAAAGTATAGAAGCGACTTGATCGAAACCCTCATCGCAGTGGCTCGTGATGCGAAACATATCGCAATATTCCATTCGGCAAATATTGAATAATGAGCTCGAATTGAAGCCATTAAAAATTCCAAAATGAAGGGTTGCTTTGCTTGGCCGAACGTGGTGGACTGCCGAATTTGGTTTTCTTCGATGAGAAAACATTCGTTGTTCAGCAGTTTGTAAAAAAACAAAATTATCGTGTTTACTTGCCAAAGAGGTCGGCTGAAAATGTGCACCTTCGGTTGGTCCATGGCCATGGTGTGAGTCGCCATAACAGCCGATGGTTGCTCTTCGCTCGTATTAATCGACCGTGGCATCAGCATAAATGACGAATATTATCGCGAAAATTTTCTGGAGGGTGTATTAAAGCCTTGGGCACTCAAATATTTTGGCCGCAGACCTTGAACATTCCAACAGGACTCAGCACCCATGAATGGTTACAAAATGAGGTTCCTCGCTTCATTTCCAGCTCACAATGGCCACCAAAATCTCCGGATACCAATGCTTTGGACTATTGTGTTTGGAGTATTTTTGAAAGCAAAATTGGCTCCAAAAAAAAACCAAACTGTCGATAACCTCAAGCAAGCGCTTCCCCGGGAATGGGCCAAAATATCGCAGAACAACATTCGGGCAGCGTGTGACGGTTTCATTGGCCGTTTGAAGGCCATCATTCGTGCCAAATCTAAACTTATTCTAAAAATTGATGCTATTTCCGAAATTTTTTGCTTTCATTCAATAAAATTTAAAAAAAAAATGTAAAAATTATTTTGTAATTTGTTGCAAATTTTTAACTCACCCTGTAATTATAAATTTGGAAGGAACTTGAAAAATCAAAAAAAGATCCTTCGAAAATACCTCTCAAATGAAAACCGTGATATGGGGCCTTTACGACGACATAGTCCTGCATAAGACATGGCCCTGCATACTAGCTTTATAGACGAAATATAAAACAATTCCGGTAAAGAATGTCTCTTAAATCATTCTCATAGCGATTATGTGGGGCTTCCGTTCTATAGGGGCTAGACCAAAACGTGGACATATGTAGGCACTTATTTTCCAGCTAGCGAAGAACTCATAGTTAACTGCTTGAAAACTTTGGCTACAATCATCAAATACCGAATATCGGGACGTATCGTTAAATGGGGGAAAATGATATCGTTGACCGATATAGCTTGACCTATCTCTTAAGCTTCTTAACTTATTCCGTTTTGATTCTAGCGTGATTACAACAGACGGACGGACGGAGAGGATCATATCGTCTTAGATGTCTACGCTGATCAAGAATATATACAATTGGTAAGGCCTTAAAATATTATTTCGATGAGTTACACACGGAATGACGAACTTGATATAGCCTCAGTTGTATGAATGGAGAAATTTATAAAAACAAATTAATTAAACCCCCATAACCTACATTTACTTGTACTTTCTGTCCGATGCTCTGCTAATATCGGCTTATTTTTATACCCTCCACCAAAAAAAGTATGGAGGGTATATTAAGTTCGTCATTCCGTTTGTAACTCATCTAAATAATCATTTTAGACCCAACAAAGTATATATATTCTTGATCAGCGTAAAATTCTAAGACGATGAAGATGTGTCCGTCCGTCTGTCCGTCTGTTGTAATCACGCTACAGTCCAAAAGAATTAAGATAGGAAGCTAAAATTTTACACAGATCTCTCTTTTGTCTGCAGGCAGGTCAAGTTCGAAGATGGGCTATATCGGTCCACGATATCGTATAGCCCCCATATAACGGTACCCCCGATATTCGGTATTTTGATGATTTTACCCACATTTTTCAATAAAATTGTCTGAAAATCCACAAAAGGAGTCCCTTGTGGGCATTTTACCCCCTCATAAAGAATTGTCAATATAGGTCCACGATATCGTATATCCCCCATATAATGCTACCCCCGATATTCGGTATTTTGATGATTTTACCCACATTTGTCAATAAAATTGTCTGAAAATCCACACAAGTAGTTGCTTGTGGGTACTTTATACCTCGGCAGAAAATTATCTTTATAGGTCTACAATATCGTATAGCCCCCATATAGCGGTACCCCACGGTATTCGGTATTTTGATGATTTTAGACACATTTTTCAATGGAATTGTCTGAAATTCAACAAAAGGAGTCCCTTCTGGACATTTTACCCCCTCAAAGAGAATTGTCTATATAGGTTCACGATATCGTATATCCCCCATATAACAGTACCCCCCAATATTCGGTATTTTGATGATGTTAGCCACATTTTTCAATGGAATTGTCTTAAAATCCACAAAAGTAGTTCCTTGTGAGTACTTTACCCCCTGAGAGAGAATTGTCTATACAGGTCCACTATATCGTATAGCGCCCATATAACGGTACCCCCGATATTTGGTATTTTGATGATTTTATTCACATTTTTCAATGGAATTGTCTGAAATTCCACAAAAAGAATTCCCTTGTGGGCATTTTACCCCCTCAAAAAGAATTGGCTATATATGTCCACGATATCGTATATTCCCCATATAACTGTACCCTCCGATATTCGATATTTTGATGATGTTAGCCACACTTTTCAATGGAATTGTCTTAAAATCCCCACAAATAGTTCCTTGTGAGTACTTCACCCCCTGAGAGAGAATTGTCTATACAGGTCCACGATATCGTATATCCCCCATATAACGGTACCCCCCGATATTCGATATTTTTATGATTTTACCCAAATTTTTCATCGGAATTGTCTGAAAATCCACACAAGGAGTTCCTTGTGGGTATTTTATACCTCGGCAGAGAATTATCTATATAGGTCCACGATATTGTATAGCCCTCATATAACGGTGCCCCCGATATTCGGTATTTTGATGTTTTTAGCCATATTTTTCAACGGACAGAGAATTCTCTATATAGGTTAACGATGACGTATAACTCCCATATAACGATACCCCGCAGTATTCGGTATTTTGAAAATCCACACAAGGAGTTCCTTGTGAGTACTTTACACGCAGATTGTCTTTACAGGTCCACAATATCGTATATTCCCCCATATCGGCACCTTCCTATATTAGATATTTTAAAGATTTTAAAAGAACTTTAAATGGATTTTATTTTTTTTGAAAATTTTCTAATTTGTTCCAAACGGTGGAGGGTATTCAAAGTTCGGCCCGGCCGAACTTACTGCTTTTTTACTTGTTCATTTCTCACTTAGAGGGGCCTTCGTGCAAAATCTCAAAAGTTTGTTCCATTTGTTCTGCTCAGCAAACGGACTCTCGTGCAAAATCTGAAAGGTCTAGCTCAATACACCGCCATATATTAACTTTCTACAATTGTGTACCATATTGTTCCTTTTAGTACGTTCACAGGAATTTACAAATAATTCCGACTTTTTTTTAAGGAATTTGCTTCTCATGTAATTTAAAGTTCTAGATCAATAAAAATATTTAGTTGCGTGTCTTTTTATACTTTGGGCACTTTCCAAATTCTTACTTCAATATCCAAAAAAAAAAGAAAAAAAAAACACATATCATTACACCCCAATAAACCCACATCCACATCTACCTCCTAGTTCGCTGCCATAAAACTATTTGCCATTAAAACTTACCTTTAATTTGCACTCCTCCAAAGTGTTTAATTAGGAAATGAGAACAATTCGAAGATGTAATGATTTCACATGGAGTGTTGTTGCTGTTGTTGGCGTTATTGACGGCCCGACTGGCTGCGTTTCGTGTGTGGGGCGACTGCTGCTACTCTGGTTTGTTTTACTTTTTCGTGTTGATGTTTAAACGTTTACAATAAACACAATTCACACACGCACATTATGAAGGCCGGTCTGCCTCCGTATTGACCCACATTCGAAGCCCAAGTACCCCGAACAGAACATTCTGCAATAGAGAGGAGAACGCGTGAGAAAAGGAGAAGTAAGAAAAAACAAGTTAGAAAGCAGTAAGTTCGGCCGGAACGAACTTTGAATACCCACCACCATTTGGAACGAATTTATAAATTTTCAAAAAATAAAATCTGTTAAAATCTTAAAAATGGCGAATATAGCCGTTATATTTGGATCTTTACGACGTGAACCTACATACGCATTCTGTGTCATAAGCCGCTAACATATTCAAATTCTAAACTAGAAATAAACGGTGAATAATGTAGGTAAATATCATCGAAATACCGTATATAGGTAGGTACCGTTATATTAGAGAAATACAAAGACCTGGACCTGTATAAAAAATTTTGTGTCACAGACTGTACTTCTCCTTACGAACTCTACGAACGGAATTTGAAACTACTCCGGTGAATAATGTCGCTAAAATCATTAAAATTCTTAATATTAGGAGGTACCGATATATGGGGGCTATACTAGGACGTTAACCTGCGCAGACTATTTTCTGTCCTAGGCTGTAGTATCCATTTCAGACTTCATATATAAAATTTGAAACAATTCCGGTGAATAATGTCGCTAAAATCATCAAAATACCGAATATCGGAAGGTATTTTATATGGGGGGCTATATGAAAACGTGGACCTACATGTCCCATGTACGAACTTTACCTGCCTACTGGAAAAATAAACATGTGTGTAAAATTTTAGCCTTCTGGCTCAATTTGTTCGAAGGATAGCGTGATTACAGCAGACAGACAGACGGACATCGCTAAATCGACTTAGTATTTTACGCTGATCAAGAATATATATTCTTTGTTCGACGAGTTACAAGCGGAATGACAAAATTAATATACCCTCCATAGTATGGTAAAGGGTATAAAAAGAGTATAACGTTGGTTGCTGCTTCTTTTTGTTCATTGAATCTTCAATAGATGTTAAGAAGACGAAACAATAACAAGGAGCTGGTAGAACAATAACACCACAACCGCCAACAAAAAACAATAACAAGAAAAGCAAAGGATATCAAAGGGAAAATGTTGTGTTGTTTTTAATAAAAAAAAAACACAAAAAAAAAATCAACAACTGAATGGAACCAAGTATCCTACATACTTATGCACACAGGCACACACACTCATCCACCTCCATACGCATTTGATGCTCCATGACACTTTTATGCCGAAGAGTTCAACATAAAATCACTGTGAATTTCACACACATATGCAAATTCAATTGAGTGCATAAGTGAGTGTGTGTGTGCGTGAATTTACATACAAATGTAGATGTAAATATAATGACTGAAGGTAGGCAAACAGAACATACGTCCATCAGAAAGGATGTGGTTGGTTATTGCTGCTGCTGCTGTTGTTGTTCACTTGCTTTGCTCTTTTGTGTAAATATCCATCCATTTTTTTTTTTTTCATTCTCGCACACATTTTACACTGATTGTTGTTTCTGACATTTTTCGCAATGCATTTCAACAATGACATGGCATATTTATCGGAAAATGAAGCATAATTTTGAGAATTGTATGGTTCGATAGACACGCGCCGGTGTGTTGAGGTATTCAATTGAATTACAACGGACGAATACATTCACTATGCTGAAGATTTCATTGTGTTGTTGTTCTTGAGATCGAAGAAGAAAGGCATTTCAGTTGGAACAGGAGTTTTAATTGTGTCCACTGGGTTCAAAGTCTTAAATGAGATCTTCATGGAAGTAGTTTTGAATGAAATGGAAAATTTTAGGTAGACAAGCTGCCTAACCAAAGCCAAATTCAGCAATTAGACAGTTGTAACTGTGGCTTTGTTAAAAAAAAAATACTCACAATAACCAGAAAATAGGGAAATCATAAATTCCATATTCATCTCAGGATTCTGGTTGGGAGACATATATTTAGATATAGCATAAAAGTAAAATACTTAGACATAGCATAAAAGTAAAATTGTATCCCTTTGTGGGTGAGGTATTAGAAGGGGTTCGCAGATCTATAGCATCTTCACAACAAATTTTGTGTTAGCAAAAATGTTTGTGTGTGTGAAATTTGAAAAGTGTACGATACTTATTTCTTTGTTTCATAGAAATAGTAGGATGTGTGATTTTCATATTTTTTGGGAGAGGTACCAGAAGGAGTGCATCAATATACTCCATTTTAGCACCATCCATTTTCACATCTGACCTAACACTGACGCAAATATTAGGATTTACAAAAAATCGGATTATTATTTCTCTTTCTGTGCAGAAGGAGTGGACCGATATTGCCCATCTCCGAACTCGATCTAAGTTTGACAAAAATATTACGATGTACCAAGTTCGGACCAAGTCGAGAGTTATCGTGCGACAGACAGACGGATGAACGGACATCGCTATATCGACTCCAATGGAAGAAACTTAAATTGCGGGGCGCGCATTAATAATATTAACGAGATTTACCATGGAATTGAAAGGTTGAACATATTTTTGAGAGAATATCCAGGCATTTTATTCACCTTTCGTGTAATTTGAATAAATGAAAACAACTTGTTGCCTATAATTTTGAATAATTCTGACAGCAAGCGGGCATAGCCTCAGGGCTGTATTTCTGCAGTTTTACGAAGCTGTTCTACCTCCTTATTATACCATGGTACCAGGTATCTTCGATCGAGGAAATTCATTTGTTTTATATTGCGGACATCTACGTAACGGTCAGAATTGACCTGTTCGTCTATTTGTGATTTCGCCGACATTAAAAATATTCGCGGTTTAATGGAAAATTTGACTTTTATTTATCACAAATGCTATGGTCTATTTCAACATTTATATCGAATTTAAGGGAAATCATAAATTCCATATTAATATCAGATTTCTGGTTGAGAGAAATATTTAGATATAGCAAGATGTATAGAATCGCTGAGTTGTTTCGCAAGTTATGATAGATAAAAGTATTGAAAATTGTAACCCTTTGTGGGTGAGGTACCAGAAAGGGGTTCGCAGATATTGTATTATGTTTGTATGTGTAAAATTTGATGAGAGGGATGTTTATTTCGCTTTCCTTGAGCGTTTTGTTTTTAAAAATCTTGAACCCTATGTGGGGCAGAAAGCAAAAGAAATGGTCCGATCTCTACCACATTTATAACAGATCTTGTGTTAATGAAAATATATTGAGAAGTACCAAGTCTGGAATGGAAACGGATGTTCATTTCGCTTTTTATGAGCTTCATGGATACTCAAAATTTTGAACCTTTGTGAGGAGGTACCAAAAGGAGTGGACCGATTTATTACATCTTCACAACAAATCTTAGTAGAAATAATGAGATATGTGAAATATAAAGAGAACCTGATGCTTATTTCGCATTTCGTGTTTTATGACCTTCATGGATATTCAAAATGTTGACCCTTTGTAGTGTAGGTACCAGAAGGAATAGTCCGATTTCTACAGTTTTTATAAAATATCATGTGTTGATGGAAATATTCAGATGTGCCAAGCCTCGAATGTTAATTTCGCGTTTTATGAGCTCAATGGGTATTCAAAATTTCGTCCTTTTGTGGAGGAGGTACCAGAAGGAGTAGACCGATGTATTCCATCTTAACACCAGACCTTGGGAGTTTTTTATGGAGAAGGTACCAGAAGGAGTAGACCGATGTATTCCATCTTAACACCAGACCTTGGGGGTTAATAAAATTATTGGGATGTGTGAAATTTGAGGACAATCGGATTCTTACATCATATTTTATAATTTTCACATCACATCACATTTTTGTACTAGATCGAGAACTGAGGCAAATATTAGGATTTGCAAAGATGGAGCAAAACCGGATCATCGTTTCAAATTCTGTGCAGGAATATATATTTTTGAAAATTTCGACCTTTTGTGGAAGAGACGCCAGAAGGAGTAGACCGATATATTGCATCCTATCACTAGACATTGGGTTAATAACAATTTTGGGATATGGGACATCACATTTTATTAGAGCTGTAATTATTCAAAATGTTGACTCTTTGTGGGGAAAGCACTAGGCACATTTTTACCGTATCAAATGATATATACCCTCTCTGAGGGTATAATAAAGGGTTATTTTCCCGAGCTATAGGAATGTTTTACTAAAATTACATTAAATTCAGAAAGAAATTGTTGAAATATTTATTTATATAATTTAATGTTTGAAGAATGCTTCACGTAAGTGTTGACAGCGACTGCTTCTTGGATGGATCTTGGCTGCCAATTTACCAGTGTCGAACGTGAAAGAAAATGTTCACTGAACTCGTCTCTCAATAGGTCCATTGTTACGAGTTTTATGTGGCATGATGAGAGTATATGTCATGCAATTCCTTTGTCACTTTTGGCAGAACACTTTAGAGTTGCCAAGTATTGCCAAAAATGATAACATGAGACCCACCAAAAAAAAAACTGCCTTTTACCCCACTTTTTTGTTCGATGAAATCCATTTTGGAGTCGATTCAAGCAATATCCGTTCATCCTTTCATTCGGTGCTCACCATAACTCACGAATAGAAAGTCAGACATTCTAGGCATATTGTGTCTTCGACTATAATCTCGATAACAATACGAAGAATACTCAGATCCTCAAGCGAGTCACCTTTTACAAAATATGGTTATAAGATCTGTCTCTAATGCGATCGTACAATGGATGCTCGGACATAATCCCAATTGCAATTACGGCTACTTAATATAGTTATAAAATTTAGATTTTCCTCAGAAGAATAAATGTCAAGCCCCGACCGAAGGCCGTCTACTTAAAAAATATATCTTCGGAACTCCAAGAGATATCAGCATATTTGCCACCATTTAGGAAATTCAAGAGTGTATGCTATAATATTCTCTGTAGACATTAATTCCTCATGTTGGGTCCATTTTTGACTTCTTAGAGGTTAATCAAAAAGATCCGTACAAAAAGTCTAAATTTCCAGCCAAAAAACAATTACTTTGCCGTAATCAGGTTAAAAACACTGCCCGAATGTTGCTCTGCGGTATTTTGGCCCATTATCGGCGAGGCGCTTGCTTGAGAAGATCGACACTTAGGTATTTTTTAGTGACAACCTTGCTTTCCAAAATGCTCCAGACACAATAGTCCAACGGATTGGTATCCGGAGATTTTGGTGGCCATTATGCGCTGGAAATGAAGCGAGGAACCTCATTTTGTAAGCATTCATAAGTGGCGCGTGCGATTATGCTGAGTCCTGTTAGAATGTCCAAGGTCTGCGACCAAAATATTTTCGGAATATTTTCGCGATAATATTCCGCATTTCATCTGATGCCACGGTTGATTAACACGAGCAGAGCAGCGACCATCGACTATCCGCGCGTACTGAAATTCATTTTATTCGGACTGATATTACGAATTTGGTGCACAATACTTATAAAATCGGACTACATTGTGTATATGAGAGCTATATCCAAATCAGAACCAATTATTACCAATTTCTATAGGCTTCGTTCGTGGGCAAAACAAATGATTTCTGGACAATTAATGCGGCCTATACTTTACAAAAATACATGGTAAAAGGAACTAATTCGTTTCCTTCTGCATGTTACAAACAAATGCACAAAGATACAGGGTTGCCCATTCCAATCGACGGACCTTTGGGCCCATTCCAATCGACGAGGCTTGTCCGCAGGCAACATTCTTTGCGTCAATTGAATTTTGTACGGGAACAAATGCAAGTCAATGCGAATAATCCGTTGTAAAGTGGTCCACTTGCCCAACTGCTGAGAACGGTGTTTTTGGGATGTTCTTGGAGACCTCTCAACACTTGCTCGTAGGGCAGCGATATTCTCGGCCGATCGCCTTGGTCGACTTTTATATGGCCTATTCGGATTAGAAAGAACCTTACCAGTCGAAATTTTTTCGTATTAACGCTTAATGGTGTTCTTAGAAGGCACACTTCTCACATTTTTTAATGCTTTAAAAGCACGTTGAGTTTTCACAATTGACTTCTTCTGTTGAATGTAAATTTCAACTATTGCAGAGCGCTCGCTTCAAACGCGGTATGTCATTAAGCGATGTGACATCTCTGTGAAAAGTTATGGCGTTGCCAGATGGGTCCGTCGAATACGGCACAATGTGGCGTATGAAGAATGTAATAGTAATACAATACTCCATAACAAAACCCCTTTACTTGTCGAAGCTCCGCGAAGGAAGAAACGCATGGAAGATTTTTTTCGTTGGATTCCATGCGGTTTTTGAGCGGACCACAAAATGTGAATTTTAAATTCACAAAACTTTTTTAGCGAACTGTTTTTATAGCCTCCACCATACTTTGGAGGGTATATTAACTGTAACTCCTCGAAATACTCATGTAAGACCCAACTAAGTATATATATTCCGGATCTGCGTAAAATTCTATGTCGATTTAGCGATGTCCGTCTGTCTGTCTGTCTGTCCGCCTGTCTGTCTTTGCAGACATGCTTATTTTGCAAGTAGGCAGGCTAAATTCGCCCCCACATAACTGTACCTCCCTATATTCGATATTTTGATTATTTTAGCGAAATTATTCACCGGAATTGTTTCAAATTACGTATTTGGAGTTCGTAATAGGAACTACAGTCTGTGACAGAAAATTGTCTATGTAGGTCTAGGTCTTCGTACAGGTCACATTTGAAGTTCGTAATGAATGCAACAGACTGTAAAAGAAAATTGCCTATGCAAGTCCAGGTCCTCGCACAGCTCCGATATAACGGTACCTCCCTATATACGGTATTTTGATGATTTTAACTACGGTATTCACCGTTTATTTCAAATTTCGAATTTGAATATGGTAGTGGCTTTTGACAACAATGCCTATATAGGTCTATATATATAAAGGCTATATTCGGTATTTTTAGATATTAACAGAATTTTTAACGGATTTTATTTTATTGAAAATTTCCAAATTCGTTCAAATAATGGAGGTTGTTCAAAGTTCGAATCGACCGAACTTACTGCTTCTTAACATGTTTTTTTTTTTTCATTTAACACAATTTGCTTTACACTTTTTATATCCAATATTGAAGTATTTCAATAACACTTTAAGTCATGGAAGACTTTCAAACCTACCAATTGCACACATACAAAATATGTATGTTAAATATTCAGGGATATTGGGTACATTGCACAATGTCCCAATTTAATGGGGCAGACAGTGGCACACAAAGCAATTTCTTATTATTTTCTCAAATATCTTCAATTTTGAAAAAGCATGTTGCCTTCAATTTTCTTCTCCGATTTCTTTAGAATAATTTTCGAAAATATCGTACTTTTCGGCATAAAACAAATGTAACTAACCGATATTTTATTTCACAGAATGCATTTGAAGATACATTAATTATTCGAAAGGAAATGCAACCTAAAAGAATTCCAAGAATCCATTTTGCCTTCATTTTCTCAGAATCGCACAGACACACATCCACACACACACACATTGGTAATTCAAGCCAAACATCAGTACTTCGGAGAAAGCGTGAAAGGTCCTTTCTTCATTTTTGTGTGTTTCTTTCTGTGCTGGATTTACTGTTGCTGTATGTTGGTTGGCCTTTGTGCAATTTCCTTCCATGTAGGTATTTTTTTTCTTTATTTCACACTTTTTCGTTTACTTCAAGGCAAACGACAGCATAATGGACCAAAGTATGCCAAATTGGGTGGGGGAGGAGTGAGGGGTAAGCGAAAGGATTTTCATTATAACGTTTCGCTCGTTACTTTTATGGCACACGTTGCTTTTGTGGTTGTTGTTTTGTTGTGCTCTCTTTCTGTTTCTTTTGAATCCTTTTTGTGTCACTGTCCTTAATACATCTATTACATGGCAGCATGAATGCTTGCATGTGTGTGTGTGTGTGTGTGTGTGTGTGAGGGTGTGTGTTAAAGTTTACGTTTGTGCGTAATTTTTTGTTTTTTTTTTTTTCTTTTTTACTTGGATTTACTTACACAACACAATACGGGATGTTTTGACTTTTTATTTTGCTTGGCTGTTTGTTTGTTTATTTGGCTGGTTGCTTTGTGGCTCTTGTTAAACGATTTGTTTTCGTTGTTAATTTTTTGTTGATGGGGGTTTGTGTGTGTGTGTGTGTGTGTATGAGTGAATGTCATACATACACTTTCTCTTTTGGCCTTAACTTGTGTCACAGCTTATTAAAAACAACAAAAACAATATTTTTTCACTTTTCCCACCAACTCTTGATGAATGCACGCAGTCACACACATGCACACTCACAAAGGCAGAAAGATTACCACCACCGTTACACGGAATTTTACTCATTGACACACATACACCGATACACAATGAAGCTTCGCGTCGCGTCGAGTCGCATCAAACAAAGACAATGCTTACGCATACACACACATTTGCAAAATTTATTAGGAAAACGTAACAAAAGTGACGAACACAACGGACACAGGATAATAACAATGAAACCGTACAGAAGAAGAGGAGCAAGAATGAAGGAATATTATGGTAAGAAAATGAAATTTTCACACGATTTTGTTGCTAGAACAAAAAAAAAAAAAAAAGAAATGCAAAATAATAGTTTTTTTATTTTCTCAACAGGAGAAGGATTTCTGCGGCCAATTGTTTATGGAGTTATCAAAAAATGAAGTATACTTTTAGGCGCCTGCAAATGCTGCTCCAAACAACTTTCACTTTCTTTGCGAATTCTTCAGGATTCCGTTTTCTTTTCTTTATCACTTTATTTTGTATATATATATTTTTTCTTTTGGTTTTCTATTTTCTACACTTTTTTACTAATTTATTTTTCTGTTTGCAAAATATTTGATTTTTATTTTTTGACTTTTTGGGAATTTCAGCTTTATGTAAAATGATTATAATTTCACAGACACACACTCAAATTGCAGAGTTAGAAATTATCGTTCATTTGTCCGCGCTAGACATCCGACAACCGAGATAGTTTGTGCTTAAAAGAGTCGCCTGCCAGTTGCAGACAAGCTGGTATCCCCTTATGACATGAACGGGAAAGCATTAGAGGCGCTCATTTCGACTCTCTCATCCAACAAAACATTGCTATGGAAAATGTGGCGCGTTCGCTCTTATTTGGGATATTTTTTTGCTTTTGTTGGGGGGAAATTTCTCATTTGGGCCCATTTGCAAACATCTGTTTACATTTGTCGTTGGTGCAACATTTGTTTATGTGCCCACATTCCAACACACTCACGTAGTACCATTGAGGTAGTCTGCGAACATACATCATGCTTTCTATGCTTCTTCTTGTGGTGCTCAGTATAAAGAAATTTTCCGTAGGGCGCATGTCCCTCTCTCAAGTGGACAGACACATTGGGGAAATTTTAGTACTATCTCACCTGTAAATTGGTACTAATACAACTGTTACATCGTTGCTCTTTGTTTTCTAAATGGAGAGAAATAAAAATGCTCTCAATTTATGTTACTCTCTCTATCTCTTAGGGATGTTGTTTCTACCTGCAATATTGTGAGAACCAAAACATTTGCCAAACAAAATAAACCTGTTAAGCAAATCGTGTTGATTCTCATCATTACATCTTAAGTACTAATATATTAGGGTGAAATGGTATTAAATCCATAAATGAGAGAGACTTATGTGATTGCTTAATTATGCTTTTACTTTTCGCCCAAGAAAAACACGTACTTTAAAAATAACCAGTAAAGAAAGTCTTAAAGTCGATCAGGGCCGACTTTATGATACCCTACACCATTTTTCTAATTTAGTAGAGCTGCGCATAACAATAAACATGATTATAATTATAATTTAAAGTTCAAAGGGCTAAATATGCCGAAGCATGTGTATCTTTTAAATTCGGACTTGTATTGTCCATTTGGTGCACAATTAATTTGAAATCGGATAAAGATATATATGGGAGCTATATCCAAATCGGAACCGATCTCGATAAAATTTGGCAAAGATATTTCTGAGCTGTATACATTTCCTTGAATATCGTTGTTACGGAGTGCATATTACGGCTGTGGGTAACAAATATGACAAATCGGATGATCAGTATATATGGGAGCTATAGTTATATCTGAACCGATCTTCACCAAATTTGACATACTAGCTTCTAGACTCAATTCGATCGTAAGTGCCAAATTGCATCCAATTTGGGCAAATATTAGATGTTTGGTGTACAAATTTCATCCAATTTGGGCACATATTAGATGTTTGGTGTACAAAGTAAATCGGACGAAGATATATATAGCTATATCTAAATTTTCACCGATTATCTCCAATTTCAATAGGGTTGAGCCAAATAAATGGTTTGTGCAAAATTTCATCTGGGTAGGGCAATAAATGCGAACTGTACTTTGTTTACAAAAATACATGGACAAACGGACGGACAGACGGACGGACGTGCATAAATCGACTCAGAATGTGATTCTATGCAGATCATCAAAAGGAACTATGGGTCTATCTCGTTTCCTTTTGCCTGTTACAAACAAATGCACAAAGACATAATACCCTGACCACCTTGTGGTGTAGAGTATAAAAAGGCAAATTCGGCAGATTTTAAAAAATTAGAACTAAAAACAACTGTTTAAAAGGGGCATGAGATACGCTGAAAAATAGTTAAAATAGGAATTAAGTATTGTTCTACATACATGGTGACATAGTCAAATTTTTTAAATTTTTATACCCTACAACACTATGTGTTGGGGGTATTATAAGTTTGATTGGGCCAAAAATTATGTAACACCACGAAATATTGATTTCCCACATAGGAAAGTATATATGGATCTTCCTAGCTCGACGAGCTGAGTCGATCTAGCTATGTATGTCCGTCCGTCCGTCTGTCCGTCTGTCCATGTCAATTTGTAATCACTCTACAGGTCGCAATTATGGTCCGATCTTCACGAAATTTAAAATGGAGGTGGGGCTAGGGTCAGAATAGAACCCTATTTCTTTTGGTGATGATCGCATAATATTTAGGGGTTGAAATGGACCAAAAACTGAAAAAATTCCTGATTTTGCACTTGCTCTACAGGTCGCAATTATATACCAATCGACGCGGAATTTCGCATGTAGCTAGAGTTTAGGGCTGGCAAGAAGAATACCCATTTGGGTGGTCATCGGATAATATTTAGCGGGTAAAATAGACCATATTTTTTTTGTTGAAAAAATTTAAAATTTTTCATTAAACCGCGAATGTTTTAAATCCCGGCAAAATCACAAAGCCATGACAAGGTTACTTCTGATCTTTACATTGATGTTAACATCCAACAAAACGGATATATAGAAAATATGTGCGATATATATGTTTATAAAAGAAGGTATGCTTGAAAAATCTCTTATATGTCGAGAACGGCTGAACTGATTTCGACAGTTCTCATTAATTCAGAATGGCCTCTTGGCAGGAAAGAAAAAACGCCTAAAAAAATCGCATAAAAATATCTCTCTAAAGATGAAAATATTGATTTTGTAAATTTTCTCATATTTTTTCAATTTTGTCATATTTTTGGCATATTTTCATTTTGAATTAAACATTAGTAATATTTCTACAGATCGCATTTATGGCCGATCCTTACGAAATTTTGCAAGGAGATAAGATGAGGGTCAGAATAAAAGCCTATTCTTTTTGGAGATGATAGCCATACGTTTAGGGGTTGAAATGGACCAAAAAACTGCAAATTTGTCAACAGGTCGTAATTATGGGGGTTGCCGGATATAGCACAAGCCAAGCAGTTTTGGATGGCCATCCAAAAATATTCAATGTGTGAAGGAGTTTGCCAACTTTTGTAGACAAAATACAAAAATGTCCATTCCAGTGACTTTTTGGAGAATTCACAAATACAGGAAAGACGCACTTCTGACTATTTCGTTAACGGTGATTTCGTTGAAGAATATAGTCAAATGTCTTTATCTCATATGGATGCGTTTCAGTCAAAAACCAATAATAAATGTTAATCTTTTGCCACTTCTGAGAGATTATAGGTCTCTGGGAAATATTAGTTCCAGATCTAGGATGACAATTTACGTGAAACATCTACCAATAAATTGGAAATGAGCAAATTAGTTTAAGTTGCTATTATTCGAAAATTAGGAACGGAACCTGATGGTTTTCTTTTATTATTTGTCACAATATCTTGTGGAATTCTTTCGAGTATCTCCCCTATATAAACTGTATCGTTTATTATAGTCGTGTAGGGTATTCAACGGTCAGCCCCGCTCGACTGTAGCCTTTGCTTACTTGTTTTTTATTTTAATTGAATCGACTTAGCGATGTCTGTCTGTCTATCCGTCAGTCTGTTGTAATCACGCTATCCTTCGAACGAATTGAGATAGAAGGCTAAAATTTTGCACACATGTTTATTTTGCCAGTAGGCAGGATTGTATATGGGATATGTAGGTCCACGTTTTAATATAGCCCCCATATAACGGTACCTCCCGATATTCGGTATTTTGATGATTTTAGCGACATTGTTCACCGGAATTCTTTCAAATTTGGTATTTGAAGTTCGAAATGGATACTACAGCCTACGACAGAAAATTGTCTATGCAGGCCTACGTCTTCATATAGCCCCCATATACCAGCACCTCCCTATATTCGGTATTTTGACGAGTTTAAGTACAATACCCACCGAAATTGTTTGAAAATCCGTATTTGAAATTCGTAATGGTTGCTACAGCCTATGACAGAAAATTGTCTATGCTGATCCCGGTCTTCGCATAGCTCCGATATAACGGTACCTCCCTATATACGATATTTTGATGGTTTTAGCTACATTATTCACCGTTTATTACAAGTTTCGAAATTGAAAATTGCATTGACTTATAGCAAACAATGCCAATGTAGGTCCACGTCGTATAGGCACCAATATAACGGCTATATTCGGTATTTTTTAAATTTTAACAGAACTTTTAGAGGATTTTATTTTCAAATTCGTTCCAAATGTTGGAGGGTATTGTTGTTTGTTTTAATTTTTGTTTTTTTAATTTTTTGAATGAAAGCAAAATATGTCGGAAATAGCATCAAATCTTAGAATATGTTTAGATTTGTTCGAATTGACCACTTTTGGCACGAATTATGGCCTTCCAACGGTCAATGAAACCGTCACACGCTGCCCGAATGTTGCTCTGCGGTATTTTGGCCCGTTCTCGGCGAAGCACTTGCTTGTCCAACCCCGCCCTCATCCATTGCAGCTGCAGAACGTCAAGTGCCTAGACAAACAAGTAAGGCTCTGAAGCAATTACATTCAGGATGGTACAGTTGTCTCCATTTGTATTGGGCACAAATTGACGAAGATGTGATGATGTCTGCCCAGTGTGTGATAAAGGTCCGAACAATACACCGCACCTGTTTTATAGCACCACCAAACATACCCAACTCATTCCAGAAGATCTCTGGTAGCAGGATTTTTAAGGTATTAAGGTAGCAGGATTTTTAAACCCTCAGCCTATGTTCGATTATCTAAGTATATTTTGACTAGTGTTAAGATTATTGAAACTTTTGACCCTCTATGGAGCAGATCCCGAAGGAATGGGCCAATATCGCCCATTTCCTATCGGACCCAAAAATATGATATAAATATTTCGACAGATGTGCAAAGTCTAAATGGAATCGGATGTTAATTTGGCGTTGTATGAGCTTCATGGATACTCAAAACTTCAGTATTTTGTGGGGGAGCTACCAGAAGGAGTGGATCGATGTATTCCCCCTTCACACCAGACCATGGGTTAATACAAATATTAGGATGTGTGAAATTTGAAGACAATCGGACTTTTACATCACATTTAATGAGATTGTAATTATTCAAAATTTTGACCATTTGTGGGGGAGGTACTTGATGGAGTGGACCGATATTGTCCATTTTCACACCTGACCTAGCACTAACGCAAATATTAGGATTTGCAAAGTTGGAGCAGAATCGGATTATCCTTTATCTTTCTGTGCAAAAAATATTTTTTTTTTTTTG